TTGTGTATTTTCTCTTATAAGTCGGCTTTCCTTATTTGAGATAATTTTTTAAAAATCTTCCATGGTGGCCGGGCTCATGCCTGTAATCCCAACACTTTGGGAGGCTGAGGCAGGCAGATCACGAGGTCAGGTGAAACCCCATCTCTATTAAAAATACGAAAATTAGCTGGGCACGGTGGCACGTTCCTGTAATCCCAGCTACTTTGGAGGCTGAGGCAGGAGAATTGCTTGAACCGGGATCTGCACTCCAGCAAGACTCTGTCTCAAAAAAACAAAACAAAGCAAAACAAAATTTCCATAGTATCTTTAGTACTTTTATGATTAACAAACCTTCTTAATCATTACAAGTTCTAAATTGTTCAGTGGATATTATAGGGTTCCCTGTTTCAGTTTATATTGAGCTAGATTAGCAAGTAAGTCCTATGGAAATATAGAACAGTAGTAAGAATCTTGGATTCTGGAGTTGATAAGACTTGAATTCAGGCCTTTCTGTTTCTGAACTGTATGGTTTGGGGCATACTAGTTAATTAACCTCTCAGAGCCTCACTGGCTTCATCTGTAAAATGGTGATAAGTACTTCTCAGTTTGAGGTGAAAATTGCGTAAGATGAGATGATTCCCTTAAAGTGCTTAGCACAATCCTTGATAAGTTGGAAACATGCATTAAATGTAAAGTATTACTCTGATAAAGATGATGACCATAGACTATTCTTTTAACTTCTACTACCATCCCATAATTCATGACTCTAATCAGAAGGGGTTGAATAAAAAGATGTATTCCCAATTTGCCCACATTACCACTTCAGCATCAACAGTCCGAGCACAGTACTTCTCAACCTTAGCAGTCTATTAAATTACCTGAGTAGATTTTTAAACTCTCAATACCTGGGTCTCTCTATCCCAGAGACCTGGGGCCTGGATATGGCCCACGCACCAGTATGTTTCAAAAACCCTTCAGGTGATTCCACTGGGCAGCCAAGTTCTAGAACTGCTATTCTAACACTAGGCCAGTGGTTTCAGATATAAAGGAAAATACATTCATTGCTTCTAAATAACAGTACTGTATGTAGAAACCTTTTATGGGTAAAATGCCATGAATTTGTTAGGAAGACATTAAAAAGAACACAGAAGACTTGAGACAAATGTTAGAGATACGTGAGAAAAGGAATTACAAAACTAAAGATGTTCCTTGTACATTTTGCATCTTAGAGAAGCTTGGGGCAGCTATACTGTAAGTATTTTTATAATGTCGATAAGAGGTAAAGGAAATGAAATTTTCTATCTGTTAGATGTGTTAATGGAAGCATGGAGATAGGCCAGCTGTCCAATTAGACAACTTTTTGAATTTTTTTTTTTTTTTTTTTTTTTTTTTTTTGAAATGGAGCCTCACTCTGTCACCCAGGCTGGTGTGCAGTGGCATGATCTCAGCTCATTGCAGTCTCTGCCTTCCGGGTTCAAGTGATTCTCCTACTTCAACCTCCCAAGTAGCTGGGATTACAGGCATACACCACCATGCCTGGCTAATTTTTGTACTTTTAGTAGAGACGGGATTTTGCCATGTTGGCCAGTCTGGTCTCGAACTCCTGACCTCAGGTGATTCCTGCCTGGCACTACCCCCCCACCCCCCTCCCTCCCCTGGCCTCCCAAAGTGCTGGAATTATAGGTGTGAGCAGCCACAACTGGCCTATGATTTTTATTACACTATTGCTTTCCCGGATGATTCTCAAAAATAATTCTTTTTTTTTTTTAATTTAGCAGATCTACCAGCACATCAAAAGTAATTCTTTTTATTTTTTAATGTTAAGGACACAGCTACAACAAAATTATTTCTAATCATCAGTAATATAGCTTATCCCTATATGCATTTTAGGACTTTAAGAAGGATTTATAATGGTATGTTAGCTCATTAATGGGGTGTGAGTAGGGTATATAAGAAAAGTAGCTATTATAGAATCCAAAGAAAGAACAGTGTGGTCTAAAGAGATGGACTGGACAAGGAGAGTCAGGAGGCCTGGATTCTAGTTCGGCAGCTTCAGTTTTCTCAGGTGCAAAATGGAGGAATTAAGAGGGCCCAAAGGTTTCTTTCAGCTGTAAGTAATTACTGTGTCTCTCAGCCTTTCTGAGAAAGGCTTTAGCCATACTGCTAAAGCTTTTCTTAAGTTAATCAGTCAATATTAATAGAAGCTGCAGGAACATTGTTCTAGCTAAGCTTTAAAAACATATTCTGGGCCAGGTGCGGCTGTTCGTGCCTGTAATCCCAGGACTTTGGGAGGCCAAGGTGAGTGGATCACCTTAGGTCAGGAGTTCCAGACCAGCCTAGCCAATATGGGGAAACCCCCATTTCTACTAAAAATACAAAAATTAGCTGGGTATGGTGGCGGGTGCCATAATCCCAGCTATTCGGGATGCTGAGGCAGGAGAATCACTTGAACCCAGGAGTCAGAGGTTGCAGTGAGCTGAGGTCATGCCCCAGCCTGGGCGACAGAGCGAGACTCTGTCTCAAAAATTAAAAATAAAAATTATATTCCATAGTCATTTTTTTTTTTTTGATGGAATTTCGCTCTTGTTGCCCAGACTGGAGTACAATGGCATGATCTTGGCTCACTGCAACCTCTGCCTCCCGGGTTCAACTGATTCTCCTACCTCGGTCTCCTGAGTAGCTGGGATTACAGGAGTGCGCCACCACACCTGGCTAATTTTGTATTTTTTGTAGAGACAGGGTTTCATCATATTGGGCTGGCTGGTCTTGAACTCCTGACCTCAAGCGATCCACCCACCTCGGCCTCCCAAAGTGTTGGCATTACAGGCATAAGCCACCACGCCTAGCCCATAGTCTTGTTTTGTCTTTACTTCTAAGGCAGTATAACATGTCTCGAAACTGATATTTTAATCAAACTATGTCTTGATAGTATTAGATTGATATATATCCTGCCTAACTAGAATATTCACATTTTACATTGGTGTCTTCATGCAGAAGGGTGACTAATGGAGATTTATGGGGTTGCCGCTTGAGACTGGCAAGGATATGTTGGAGCGTTGAGTTGCCTGTTGCCCTTCAAATCATGCCTTGTGGATGACTTCATTTACGACTGATCCTGGGGTCTTCCTTCTACATTTTATTCTAATATTTTCTACTTCTCTTTTTGCATTATATTACTCATGATCATCAGGACTAAACATAATTCTTGCATTTGTTGTATTTGCATCATCTCCTTCCTATAAGCTTATACATTTTTTGAAGCCAGGATACATTATTTACATTGTATCCCTTACCTGTGCTAATACAGTGTCCTGGCACACAAAAGGAGTTTGATATATGTTTAATTAAATTGTTAAAAAATAATTTTGGCTGGGCGTGGTGGCTCACACCTGTAATTCCAGCACTTTGGGAAACTGAGGTGGGTGGATTATGAGGTGAAGAGTTCAAGACCAGCCTGGCCAACATAGTGAAACCCCATCTCTGCTTAAAAAAAAAAAAAATACAAAAATTAGCTGGGCATGGTGGCACACGCCTAGCTACTCAGGAGGCTAAGGCAGGAGAATCACTTGAATCCAGGAAGCAGAGGTTGCAGTGAGCCAAGATTGCATCACTGCACTCCAGCCTGAGTGGCAGAGCAAGACTCCGTCTCAAATAAATAAATAAATAAATTTAATATCATTACTTTCTTTTTTTTGTGCCACTTTAGCTTTCACAATTTCCTTGACAATATTTCCAAAAAAAAATGTTTTTCACAAAGTCCTATGTCATGACAGTATCCTTTAACTACTTGCTGAATACAGCAATAAGCTTTTTATTCTCAAAAGCCAAGAAGTAATAATTAACAAAACAAGGAAGTAATCATGGTACCAAAACACAGAAATAGGTCATAAGTTAGGTAAACTCTTAGTTGTGAATGTGTAGAATACTTTAAATGTTATTTTATGAGGTAGTTTAGGTATGATATTCATTTGATTAAGTATTATAAACACACTGAAACTAAACTTTTGAACATGTTAATTATAATTTTCTAAACTTACATTGTTCTGAAATAACAATGAACAACTGTATATCATTAATTAAATGTCACAAATCATTAAAACAAACCCTATGTACATAATTAAGAGAAATTAGTTATGGTAGTATTTAAATTTGAGTATGATCATGGGAAAACTAAGTATGATAGCTTTTGATGAAACAGAATAAAATTTTTAGTATAAGAAAAAATCCAACTTAATAATTTGTAATTAATAATGACTTTTGATCATAATTTTAACAAAATAATTTAAATGACTTATCAAACAGTAAGATCTAATATAAATATTGAAGTATTCAGAGAGAGTTTCATCTGTGTTTAATTTAACTGTTAAGTTGGGATTTTGAGTTGTGAGGGTGATGCTTCAATACAGGTCGAAAATTATCCATTCTCCCAGTCCCCCTTTTGAGTTTACCTTTGTGGGCTCTAAATTTTTCACCTGGTAAATCAATAAATACTTTCTAGGCAGGGAGTTCTAACTTATCATTCAGTATACTAGTTGGAGACAGGGCTAAAACACCAAATCTTGGCCAGGTGCGGTGGCTCACGCCTGTAAGCCCAGCACTTTGGGAGGCCGAGGTGGACGGATTACCTGAGATCAGGAGTTTGAGACCAGCTTGACCAACATGGTGAGACCCCTGTGTCCACTAAAAATACAAAAAAAAATAGCCGGGTGTGGTGCTTGGCGCCTGTAATCCCAGCTACTTGGGAGGCTAAGGCAGGAGAATCGCTTGAACCCGGGAGGCGGCGGTTGCAATGAGCAGAGATCGCGCCACTGCACTCCAGCCTGGGCAACAAAGTGAGACTCTGTCTCAAAATAATAATAATAATAATAAAGAAAAAAATCACCAAATCTGTAAACTCTTAAAGAGTTTATCCAAAGTATATACTTACTACTGAGAGCATTTTCAAACTTCTGTGACTTCAAGACTTGTACAGTTAAGGTACATTTATAGTATTAATGAATTTTAAAACACCCAAAGAACAGTGCCTTTCACAAAGGTTTATTTTGCTAGCTGTATGAACAGTTAAGACCAGCGTGAAAGAAGATCAAAAATAGTAACTCTTGATTTAGATTTTTACATTTTCTGCTTCAAAGTACAAAGGTACTTAAATTAGAAGTTATAAAACTGATCCCATATTTTTTGTGTAATTATCATTTCGCAGTATTGGTAATAATAAGAAATAACGTCTAATGACTATGCTTCAAACTTACTTTTAGACTCATTCTTACATACTAATTTGCAAATAAGCAAACGTTAAGGACTATATCAAAAAAGGCTTTAAAACATAGCTAGTGAAAATTTGAGTTCTAGTTTCTTAAATTCCATTGAATTCAAAGGTCACATGTATAATGTACATTAAAATTGTTTTCATAAATAAAAATTACTGATATGGGAAAGCTGCTTTAGGAGAATTTTCTCTAGTAAATCCATGATCCTTAAAATTCTAATTGAATATTGATCCTTAGCAAACACTTACAGCAGTGTAAATATTACTTTTCAAAGGTGCGTTAGTTTCAAGAATGCTGGGGTCCTACAGGCATGATGACACTTTGTAACATATACTTTAAAAAAAAAAAATCTTTTCTTCTGCTCCCTAAATCTCTGAAGTGCCGTAAGTATTAAACAGAACTGATGTGAAGGTATCTTCTGTTCGAGCTGGATGTTTACACATGCAAAGTATTTTTGAAGATATGGATTCTAATTTGGAAGAAGAAACATAGCAAAAAATTTTATTTCTTATTCATTTATTTTCACATCTTTAAAATACAAGTTAAATCGTAATTGGAATCCCTTTTCCTATCGTGTAATCAAACGTTGGTACCAGACTTGAAGGCTTTACTTTGTTAGCCATGTGTTTATGAACCCCCAGCGCTTTCCCTAGATCTTTTGGCTGATAATCTCAAACATGGAGGATGCTTCTGAATCTTCACGAGGGGTTGCTCCATTAATTAATAATGTAGCTCTCCCAGGCTCTCCGCTGTCTCTTCCTGTATCAGTGACAGGCTGTAAAAGTCATCGAGTAGCCAATAAAAAAAAAGGTAGAAGCGAGGAGTGAAAAGCTCCTCCCAATAGCTCTTCCTCCTTCAGAGCCGAAAGTAGATCAGAAACTTCCCAGGAGCTCCGAGAGGCGGGGAAGTGGCGGTGGGACGCGATTCCCCGCGCGAAGTCGGGCAGTGGCAGCGGGAGAAGCGGCGGCCGGGGGCGCTGCGGGGCCGGCAAGAGGCGGTCCCCCGGGAGGACGGGGTCTCCCCTCGGTGCCTTTGTAGTGGCGAAGGTGGACAAGTGGCCGTCGGCGCGTTCGCAGGTGAGGGTCGCTCGGGAGCCGGCCGGCGCCGGCGGGGAAGTGGAGGCGAGCCGGGAACAAAGCGTAGCAGCGCCGGGGTCCGCCCGCAGCGAGCGCCCTGGCGGCGTTGGGCCGGCCGGCTGCGCGCCGAGCACGTTGTGAGCCTGGCGGCGGCGGCGGACGAAAAGCCGGCCCTGGGGGAGGGGGCCGCCGCCGCTCCCGCACTGCCCCCCGCGGCGGGGCGTCCTGCCCCATTGTGAGCCGCGGCGGGGCGAGGGGAGGTCGGGCGTGCTCGGAGGGTAGGGGCGGCGGCGGCTCCGCTCGCCGGGAGCCGGGACGGCGGCAGGAACGAACTCGGCTCCGGTAGCGGCCGCGGCGCGTCAGTCACACAAAAGGCAGCCGAGCTTCTTTCCCCGGCGCGCGGACCGGCCCACGCTGCCGCCGAGCGCTCCCCACCTTACCGGCTTTCCTTTCCCTCCAATTCTGATAGGGAAGCGGGGCCGGCGCGGGCTGCGGAGGGTCTGGGCGAGCCCGCGGGCGGACTGGAGATGCCGCTGCTACACCGAAAGCCGTTTGTGAGACAGAAGCCGCCCGCGGACCTGCGGCCCGACGAGGAAGTTTTCTACTGTAAAGTCACCAACGAGATTTTCCGCCACTACGAGTAAGAGCCGGGCGGGGCGCGGGGCCGCGGGGGGTGAGGGGACTCCCTCCCAGCGCCCTTTTGTCTCTCTCTCCTTTTCCTCGCCCGGGGCTTCTGGCGGGGCGACTGGAAGGTGACGGGTGGCCCTGGGCCCGCGGTTCTCTGCCTGCTAGTCTCGACCTGGAGAACGCGCGGGGCCAACTGGCGGCGGTGCGTGTGGGGAGCGCGGCTCGGTCCGGGCGGAGGAGGCTGGGGTCCCCGGGCGGCCTCGGGGACCACTCCTGGCCGCTGCTGACGCCCTCCCGCCCTCTCTGCCGCGGGGCGGCGGAAACTCCCCGCCTCGCCCCTCCCCGCCGCGGCCACACGCGCACTCCGGGGCCAGTTCCGGGATCCCCGCCCGGCGGCCGAGGGGATCCCCGCTAGGGTCAGCGACGCGGGGCCGCGGTCCCTGGGCTGGGGAAGGGAATTCCTGCGGCGGTGGGCAGGAAGCGGCTGGGCTGGGCTTCGTGTTCTCAGTTGGGAGTGGGATCTGACGTTGGAGCTGCCTGGGGCAGGGGAGACAGGAGCGGAGTTAAGACTCGCTCTAGACGGGAAGGAGGGGGCGTCCCTGCGGGCCCGGGGCGGAGGGCACTGGGCGCGAGAGCCTCCGCCGGGGCCTCCGGTCCTGCGCTGCTAGGCCTTGGAGTGCGACTCGAGCCGCGCTCTCTGTCACCGCCTCTTCTTGGTGACTAACTCTCGTCTCCGGGGAACTCAGCGTCTCCGCCCCCGGGAGACCAGTGAGGAAGAAGTCGCGGCTGGGCGAGGGGAAGAGGAAGGGGGAAGAAGCAGGGCCTTGGGCGCCCCTCGTTTTCACTTTCGCGTAGCCTAGAGCGCGGCGGTGGGTGTTGGGAGGGGGGTGGTTAAGGCAAGTTCAACTTCAGACTCAGCCAGTCGCCTCTTTATCCCCCTGCGCATGTGGGCTGCCTGACATGTGCCACTCGCTATTGTTTTGATAAGAACGCCGAGCTGCTGCTGGTGTAGTTTCAGCGCCTACATTTTCAGCCCGTGGCCTGATTTATCCCAAGAGATCTTGTCGTGTGACACGAAGCAGGGGGGTGTGTTTTAGCGACTTGTGTTTAAACAGGATCTCTTAGTGAGAACCTGAATTGTTTAATCACTCAGTGTGATCCTCTCTTTTTCTTATGCTTTATCCTCTCCACTCAAAAGGAATCCCTTTGTGGCTTGGAAACCAAGTGTAATGCAGCCAAATAAAGTCGAGTGTAGGGAGTCACCTTGTCTGAGTGGGAGCTTGACTGAGGGAGGGTTTTGGGCAAACAACACCTGTCTAAGAAATGAATAGTGAGGTTAAGAAAGTTCCTTTGAGCATTTATTTTAAGTAAACCTTTTTCTTCAGCTTTACAGAAAGTTACCCATTAAACATGTTATATGTAGGGAAGAAGATACAGTACTTGTCATCAGACAGTACTTTTAAGTAGGAGTGCACGTCTCACTCTCCTCCTGTAGAGACTTGTTTTGTTACTCAAAAACTAGTTAAGTGAACTTGGATTAGGTAATTGGACAAGGATTTTTTTTTTTTTTAAGGATTTTAAAGCTACAGTCCTTGCTAACAATTACGATCTCTTAAAGAACTTAAGAGTACCAATAAAATAGTAAATAAGCTTAAATTTCAAATTGTTTTCTTCTTCCATATAAGCAGTCTTTTAAGATGCTTTTCTCACTTTAGAGGACAGGATGAATATGGTTGTTATCCTTTGTGAATTAAATCCTCTTAATGCACTTTGGTTCTTGAGCTGAATTACTCTAACCATGGAGAAATCTGAAATGCTGAAATACAGAAGATTTTTCGCATTCTAGAACTATCTATTTTCCACTATTTTTATTTATTTATTTATTTTGAGACAGGGTCTCACTCTGTTGCTCAGGCTGGAGTGCAGTGGTGCATCTTGGCTCACTACAGCCTCAGCCTCCTGGGCTCAAACAATCTCCTCCACCCCACCTTACACCTTAGCCTCCTGAATAGCTGGGATTGCAGGTGTGTGCCACCACTCTGGCTAATTTTTGTATTTTTGTAGAGATGGGGTTTCGCAGTGTTGCCCAGGCTGGTCTTGAATTCCTGAGTTCAAGTGATCTGCCTGCCTCAGTCTCCTAAAATGCTAGGGTTACAGGTGTAAACCACCACCCCCACCCGTATCTTCCATTAAGGAACTGATGCCAAGCACAGTGGTGCACGCCTGTAATCCCAGCACTTTGGGAGGCCGAGTCAGTTGGATCACGAGGTCAGGAGACTGAGACCATCCTGGCTGACATGGTGAAACCCCATCTCCACTAAAAATATAAAAAAATCAGCCGGGCGTGGTGGCACACGCCTGTAATTCCAGCTACTGAGGAGTCTGAGGCATGAGAATTGCTTGAGACAGAGGTTGCAGTGAGCTAAGATCGTGCCACTGCACTCCAGCCTGGGCCACAGAGCAAGACATTTTCAAAAAAAAAAAAAAAAAAAAATTAAGGAACTGTATCCTTTGTAGTCATAGGGCATTTAAACATTTTAAATAACTAGATTTTTATTTTCAATTTTTGTTTTTTCCCTTCTGCTGAAGTGGTAGGGCTTTTGGAAATCACAAGCAGTCCCAGAGAGATTATTGGTTTGGAAGCAAAGGTATTTGATTATTTACCCTGAATTAAGCAGTATTGTTGATGTTCTTAGGTTTCTATGACTGAACAAAAAGAATTTTGACAATATTGGAAGAAGACTGCCATTATGTTAAATTTTGAATTACCTTGTTTCTCATAAATGATTACAAAGAGATCTTTCCAAAATACATTCCTGGTACATGGTATATGGTGGTCTGTAGCATGGTAATCTGACCTTTGGAACAACTCTGGAAAAACTAGGAAGGAAACCTCTGCAGGCCACTGTTACATTGCATGTGGGATAGCCACCCCAAAACAAACAACAACAAAAAAAGCACCTGTTTTCACTTGTTAAATCATCAACGGGTTTATGTGAATTTGTTTGAAGACTAGCTTTTTAGTGTATTATTTTGAATATTTTTCCTCTGTATTTCTCTGAAGACCACTATGCTCACTTATTTGCTTGCATTTTTTATTTCTTGAATATGTTTCTCTAATCAGCCTAAAAAAGGTTTTCTACACCTTCTAGCCTTATTCACTTCCCAACACAATACAAAGTAACTTGCCTGTAATCGTGGTTAGTAGAGGTTGCCAGTGACTTTTTTTTTTTTTTTGAGATGGAGTTTCGCTCTTGTTGGCCAGGCTGGAGTGCAGTGGTGCGATCTTGGCACACTGCAACCTCTGCCTTCTGGGTTCAAGCAATTCTCCTGCCTCAGTCTCCTGAGTAGCTGGTATTACAGGCGTCTGCCACCATGCCCAGCTAATTTTTTATATTTTTAGTAGAGACAAGAGTTTCACCATGTTGGGCAGGCTGGTCTCAAACTCCTGACCAAAGGTGATCCGCCTGCCTCTGTCTCCCAAAGTGCTGGGATTACAGGTGTGAGCCTCTGCACCTGGCCACCAGTGACCTTTCAATTGCTAAATAGTTTTCTGTCTCTATCTTACTTGATGTAATAGCCTGCTTCCTTTTTGTCCTTCTAAGCAGCAATGGCCACTCCCTCCCTTTTATCTAGTGTAGCATCTTCTGTTATTGCCTTGTCATGCAGTGTATTTGTTGCCTCACTTTTTTTTTCTTTCTGAGATGGAGTCTTGCACTGTCACCCAGGCTGGAGTGCAGTGGCGCGATCTTGGCTCACTGCAACCTCTGCCTCCCAGGTTCAAGCAGTTCTTTGCCTCAGCCTCCCAAGTCGCTGGGATTACAGGCACTCGCCACAACGCCTAGATAATTTTTGTATTTTTAGTAGAGATGAGATTTCATCATGTTAGCCAGGATGGTCTCAATATCCTGACCTTGTGATACACCGGCCTTGGCCTCCCAATGTACTGGGATTACAGGCATGAGCCACCGCACCTGGCCTGTTTCCTCACATTTTGTCTTCTGCAAGAACCTGAACTGTTTGAGACAGCGACAATGAACAGTATGCATCTTTAGTGATTATAGAGCACAAACCTCTTACTGCATTCTTTTTAACTAATTGCTAACTCTTGTTTGACCTGCTTTCATAGGTAAAGAAGACTCAATAGCCCATCAACTATAGACAAATGCATAAGCTAAGGTGCATAATTTAGCCTCTTAAATCTGATTTATTCTGGCTGGGTATGGTAGCTCATGCCTATAATCCGGCATTTTGGAAGGCCAAGATGGGAGGATCACTTGAGGCCAGGAGTTTGAGATCAGCCAGGTCAAAACAGTAAGACCCTTGTTTCTACAAAAATAAAAGTGTTCTGCAATTTTGGCTGGCTGACAACAATTTTGTTTATTTTTGGCTGTGGATTGTTAAAAAATGGAACAGTCAGGTCTGAATACCAGAAATTCTAGACTTGAGGGATAGGAAAATGATTTTTTGTATTACCGAGTAATATATAATCTGATCAATAAAATATAATATAAAGTATAATCTGATCAATAAAATATTTTTTAGCCATGTAGGCACTTGGAATTGGGATATATTTCCCATCTTTGAATGAGTCCAGCCTTCCATACAAAATGTATGACTCTGCTTCACAACATCACTAACAGGTGGTCCAAATTATGTTTCACCCTGGCTTTTCATTGAAAGAGGTTTGACTAGCTTTTAAAGCATCCTATTTTCATTGTTCAAATGCTCTTTCTTGTTAATAAGTCAATCCTTTCAGCAGCCTCTTTTTACAGATGAGGAAACTGTAGTTGGGGTGGAGGGTAAATCCAAGATTACAGTGTCTAAAATTATTTGGTAACTGTTAATTGTTAGAATCTAATATCATGATTCTAGAATTTATGCTCTTTTTACTGTTTACTATCACACAGTGCTTATTATGGAAAATTCTTCCTAATATTTGTTGAAGTATGCACTAAGAAAATAAGGGCATTGCCAGGAATTCAAACTGGCTGCTTAGATCTTTGTGTAGATACCACTGTACTGTCTGCTTAGACATTTGGTTTTTTAGTATACCCCAAGTGATTAAGCTCTAGATATTAAATGGACATACCCATAACACCATCAATTTGTAGTGGGGAAGAATGTTTTTCGTCCTGACCAATTTCTATACTAATGGTCAGTTATCTGTGATATCTAGTTATAATCAAAGGCTATTTGGTTAGCATGGGGTTTTCAAAGAAAGTTGGATAATTTTTATAGCTAGTGTCTTATTTATTTATTTTTAAAATGGGGTTTCTCCATGTTGGTTAAGCTGGTCTCAAACTTCCAACTTCAGGTGATCCACCTGCCTTAGCCTCCCAAAGTGCTGGGATTACAGGCGTGAGCCACCACGCCTGGCCAGCTGGTGTCTTTAAATGAGATGTTTAGCTTCTCTTTAAGGAATAAGCCTGCCACATGGTCCTGATACTTGGATCCATGAGTCCTTTTTTTCCTGGATGGTATAGCAGAAATTCCTAAACACTTTTCTTTTTGAGTTTTATCTTTTATCTACGTAGCAGACTACTGTGTTTTAAATGCTTCCTTTCTTCAGACTCCCTGGCTCAAGCAATTCTCCTGCCTCAGCCTCCTGAGTAGCAGGGATTACAGACACATGCCACCACACCCAGCTAATTTTTGTATTAGTAGAGACAGGATTTCTCCATGTTGTCCAGAATGTTCTCAAACTCCTGACCTCATGATCCACCCGCCTTGGCCTCCCAAAGTACTGGGATTACAGGTGTGAGCCGCTGAGCCTGGCCAGTAGAATTTGTTGTTTCCTACACTTGCCCTCAGGAGCTGGCAAGAAGAAATATCTTTAGATGTTTGAGATAGTTCTGTCTCTTTCTGCTCCCATTCCCAATGTCTAACTTTCTCTCAGGAAAACATGTTTCTCTGACATTGTTTCTCTACCATACTGGCTATTCTAGGATTTCTCTGCACATGGTGGTTCCTGTACAATAAGAATTGATACTCTTTATTGAGTACGCTTACATTTTAGGGGCATTCATTTGCTAAGAATTATCTCATTTGATTTTCACATTGACATTCATAGAGGAGCCAAATTTAGAGAGGTTGTGTAACTTATCCAAAGTTATGTATTTTTTTTTTTTTTTTTTTTTTTTTTTTTTTAAAGACGGGGTTTCACCATGTTGGTCAGGCTGAACTCCCAACCTCAGGTGATCCGCCCGCCTTGGCCTCCAAAGTGCTTGGATTACAGGCATGAGCCACCACACCCGGCCTCAAAGTTGCTTTTTTTTTTTTCTAAGATGGGGTTTCACCATATTGTGAGGCTGGTCTTGAACTCCTGACCTCAGGTGATCCGCCCACCTCAGCCTCCCAAAGTGCTGGGATTACAGACTTGAGCTACCGCGCCCGGCTAAAGTTGCATTCTTAAAGTAAAGCTGGGATTCAGACATGTTTCTCTCTCCTTCGTGTGTGTGTGTGTGTGTGTGTGTGTGTGTGTGTGTGTGTATTTCTCTTTCATATTTATATGTATATGCATATATGTATATGCTCTCTATATAGCTCTATATGTATATCTGTATATAGAATGTATACATATACATATATATGTATATATATACAAGGGCCAAAAAACACACTCTTTCTCTATATAGATATGTATACACACTCTCTCTCTCTCTCTCTATATATATATATATATATATGTGTGTGTGTGTGTATATATATAGTTCTCTCTATAGCTCTCTCTATATATAGATACATATATATATATATAGAGAGAGAGAGAGAGAGAGAGAATGTGTGTTTTTTTTGGCCTTTAAGTAGAGTACACTTTGTTTTTATCTGAATTGTACTCAGTTTCTGATTTTTATGTCATAATTTTAATCTTCCACTAGGTTTTTAGTTTTCTCAATACTCAACGAATTAATAGTATGTTACACTTTGTTCCTCAGTTTGTTCACCAGATTGTTGGTTGACTTTATATTACAAGTGTGTTCTTAAAAAGTACCTTGTAACTCAGCAATTTTTCCTTATGAAATGTTGGTAAAGAGGAAGGCTCATCAAATTTTTCCCGTAAAGGGCCAGATAATCAGTATTTTTGGCTTTGCTTGGCCATAGGGTCTCTTGTTCCTATCTAGCTGTGCAAATGTAGTGAGAAAGCAGTTACTGACAACACCTGAAAATATGGGTATGGTCGTGTTCCCAAAAAACTACAAAAATGGGTGGAGGGCAGGATATGGTCCCTGGGCCAGTAGGATGCCCACTTTTAGTGAAGAGGATGATTGAAGGAGTACAGTCATAAATCTTGACATTAATAACCTGTATTAGCCTAAATTTACATTCATATAAAAATGTTTTGGATGTTATTTTTGCTCACAGTAGTAAAATGTGCTTCTTGTAAGTTTCATTAGTTGTAGTCTTACAATGTAGAAATTGAAGAAGCATTGTAACCAACCCCCTAGAGTTCAGTATTAACAAACTCTGCACATTTAAATGTCTATGATAAATGAGTCAAGTGTGAGCAGAATTACTGAAGTGGGAGCAAGTGAAGGTGTATGATATTAGAGATGGTGCTGTGGGGTTATGAGTAGGGGAGAGATGACCCTTGGACTTTTCTCCCTTGCATTAAAATTGCCACTGTGGTAGAGTGTGTCCTGCCTCCATAAGGTAGGTCTTTGTGCAGAGTAAAGCTATAATGTAACAATAACTTTATAAATAGACACAAAGTAAACAAATAGCACAAACATTTTGTAAGAGATAGTAGGAACCTTTGGGTATAAAGGAGCAGCTAAACATCACTGGTTGTAGCACTTGTGCCATTGCTCTCCTTGGTATTTTTAGGCAGTGTTAAATCTAGTGTTTGTTGCAACTCACTTTGTACTTAGTTATTCCCCTGCGGTGGCATGAAATATCCCATGCATGGCCTACTCAGTACCCCAGGCACTTAGCTGTTGTGGCTAGAGCTGTGCTGTCCAAAACAGGAGCCATTACTTGGCCAGATGGGTTATTAAGCACTTGAAATGTGATTAGTTCAAATTAAGATAGTAAACATAAAATATACATTGGATTTTTTTTTTTTTTTTTGACACGGAGTCTCACTCTGTTGCCCAGGTTGGAGTGCAGTGGCACGATCTCGGCTCACTGCAACCTTTGCTTCCTGGGTTCAAACAATTCTCCTGCCTCAGCCTTGCGAGCAGCTGGGACCATAGATGCATGCCAACATGCCCGGCTAATTTTTTGTATTTTTAGTAGAAACAGGGTTTCACTGTGTTAGCCAGGTTGGTCTCAATTTCCTGACCTCATTATCCACCCACCTTGGCCTCCCAGAATGCTGGCGGGAGCCACTGAGCCCGGCAAATTTTTTTTTTTTTTTTAAGAAGAATGTAAGTAAAGTATCTCAATTTTTAAAATGTTGATTACATACTGAAATGAAATTATTTTGTGATATACTGGGTTATTTTTATTTTTAAATTTTTAAATGTGACCACTAGAAAGTTTAAAATTATACATGTGACTGACCATTCCATTTCTACTAGCACTGGTTTATAGACTAATGTATAAGATATTTAGATTTGAAGTATAATTTTCTTGAGCAGTACTAAGTAATGTTTAAGTTATTAGAAGTATGCATCATGTGATGGATATCCCAATTACTCTGATTTGATCATTACACATTGGATACAGGTATCAATATGTACAACTATTATATATCAATTTTTTAAAAGAGGAAAAAAGTATACCTGATATACATTATGTGTTAGCTGTGTATTGGCTTGAGAAGCTGAATCTTACAGATATGTTTGTTTAACATATAAAGTTAGAACTTTCTTAACCACTTCTATTTCAGACTGAAGATAATTGTTAGGGGCTTCAGGAGGAAAGCAAACGTATGGATTTAAAATGAAAAAAAAAAAAAAATGAAAGCTTCCACATTGCATTTAGAAATGCAACAACCATCAATATGAGAAGAAGATTTGAAGAAATTTTTCACCTGCCCAATAGTTTATCTCTTTTCACTTCTAGTATATTAAACAATTTGACTACCTTTCTCAGAAATATTTTA